CCCCAAAACCCCAAAACCCCAAAACCCCAAAACCCCAAGTTTTAACAAATTTAACAAATATGAAACTCCTATTCACCTTTGTGCCATTGGTGATAGCTTGTGTGACACTGATGAGTCGTTTTGGGTCAACAAGGATGTACTCTGATCGATTGGAGAGGGATTTTAGAGGTAAGAGGGGTCTAAATAATTCTGGTCCTCCTAGTGACCCAAGTGGGCCAACAGATCCTACATGATATGATATTGATCAGTTGTGAATCCCATGAGGAAATAACGCAAGCTGTGATTGGGTCAATGAAGGATGACAGCTCCTTGAAGATGAAGATTTACTTGCTGTAAGAATTTTAGTTATAGTTTGAATTAAATCACTACAATATTACTATTGTTGTAATTTAAAGCCCTAAAACTAACTTTGATTTAGATAAATATATCACTGCCATATAGCGAAGAAGTCTGACAAGGATCCAATGAAACTGATGCAGCAAAAGGAAAGATCATCCTTGATAATGTAATTGGAGAAACAATCGAGCTCAAGCATATTGGAAGTTATGTGGGAGGAGAACCCTGTGAATGGAAAATTGAAACTAACAGTAACAAAACTGTAACTATTTACGTTTCAAGGAGTGATAAAAATACAGAGTCTATTGCAATCCAATATACTGCTAATGAAACTGTCACTAATCTTACCAATAGAGATTTGACTGTTTGTGGAGGAACAGGAATGAACACTTCGTTTTCAGGTGCAACAGATATTCTTATTCGAACAAAAGCTCATAGACTACAGACTGAGTATGATATTTTGATTGAGCAACAAGGGACAGACTATGGGACTCCGAATGTCCTTACCAATAATAAGAATCTTGTTCGGCTCGTGGCTATCTGTTTGATCTTAATCTTAATAATCCTCGTACTTTCTATTGCTGCTTTTGCTTTATGTAAGAAATCATTAGCTTTATCGAAAAGCAAATAAAGATAAATCAGAAGAAAAATTAGTAAAAATAGCGAAAGAGAATGCTCTTGAGGTCGATAAAGTCATGGAGAATATGAGATCAGGAGCTTATGAAGATATATCTAGTCAATCACAATCTAGACTTTGAATCATTTGTAATAGTAATTTTAGAGCAAGAGAAGAATGTCATCTCACAAACGAATGTTTGCACTTATTTCATACTTCTTGTTTAAGCAGGTGGTATAGAATGATAGCAAAAACTCGAGAACTATCTTGTCCTGAATGAAACACTAAAAATCACGAGGTTACAGCTCGAAGTATGATAAACCACTTTGGAGGAGTCCAATTTAATGATGATATCATCAGTGACATTGACTTCCAACAGAAAAATATTAGCAGCATCATTTTAGAGGAAGAGAAAAATGAGATGCATTATTAATCTAATTAACCTATTCAGCAAATCTAAAATACCTAGGGGTTTTGGGGTTTTGGGGTTTTGGGGTTTTGGGG